AAAATGTCAGCGTGTGTCCCGGTCAACCTGTCGCAAATCGGTCCATCTTCATCAACACGGCTCTTATTCTATGGGCTTTCCGCCTTTCGGAGAATACTGCAGCGAAGATTGACACGCTTTCATTCTCAGACACTCCAAACATACATGCTGCTCCGTTTGAGATATGTCTTACGAAGAGGATCGACGAGAATGTGGTCAGGGAACTATGCGCACGGGAAAAATAAAAGAAGTGTATTCTGAAAACTTGAATGTTTGTGCAAAGGAGTTCGTCCTGCGTTTTGGAGTCTTTTTCCGTTGTTTGTCCGACTCAGACTCCTTGTTACATCTAATTTCATATGTCCTCGAATAGGCACGATTGTAATCACGAACTGGTTTTGCCTGGTGTCACCACGCATCAAGTATATGTCGATACTCTCCAAGTTGCGTGACTGATCGTAAACCGTTTACAGACAGCCCCCGGACAAAATCAAGTGTGGTACTGAAGTCCTATCCCTTTACCATTCAATCATTTGCTCTCAAAGTTGACATAGTTTTCATTGTGTGCTTTTCAGTTTCGTGGTTCCGGTCACGGTAGTCTTTAACGCGGCTGACAGTCCCATAAGCCATAATTTTTTACCTTCACTTCGAGGCACCTCTGAAGTACCTGAAGCTGTGAGACATCTCTCGCTCAGATCTTACTCGGTACTTCAAAGCCGAATTCAATTTGGACAACTTGATCTTCCCGAACATGCCTGTCCTTCAACCTTCTAACAATTTTCTTTCACGATCCTCCGCGAACGTCTGGTTTATGTATGTTCGTGTTGGGGTCTGAGGGAGCGGACGTACCTGGAGATGGACGACGAGTGCAATCAAGCCATCCTCGAGTCCAAGAGATAAAGATTGCCAACAGCGCATCAAAGTTCCGATGTCGTGAACCGGACGGACTGAAAAAATTCCATTTCCCGGATTTGTCCCGGATGTCCTCAATCTTGTTTGACACGATCTATCAATCTAGCATCTATGTTTCGCCTCATTGCTACCACGATCTCCACTAATCGGCAAGCTCTGAGATCTGAATCACTGAGCCGTAGGGATTCATAAGGCATCAAGCTTCTTGCACTAGTAAGTGAGAACTGGGGTGTTTTGCAGATGGGCCTGTTATCAGTTCGGAGTACAAAATTCTATTTTTAGAATGGTAACCCACTTAACCTCAGCCGAGACTCGAGTCGACCTCCATTACAGTGTTTGTGAACTGATGGTCCTGTGCCACGATCAATCCAACGCGTCATCGAGAACGACATAAAGATCTACCTTGTGTAATCTTCAGGTGGAGTCTAAATGTCTTGGAACACGCACGTCTACTACTAGCTTATCACCAGGGTGGTCATCAGGCCGCGTTCCTATACTATAGGAAGACCACAATACGTGACTCGCACAGGTCCGATTTATCAGCGCAGGTGTTCAATCCGTGTTTGTATAAGTACTAATAAGTCGGTGTGATCATGCACTCTAATCTCACTGTACCTGTCGTTCATCACAGCACGTCACCACCTCTCTGCTCTGGAGTACTTAACGTGTTGCAAAGTAGCAGGGTGTCTGATCGTGACTACCAGCAAGCCGGACCATTTCAATGGCGATCATCATTGCCGCATGCACCCTTATCATTATCTTAGCCAGCGTCTGGATAGTGCAACAGCGATATCAGGCCGCAAGGCGGTTGCCATTACCCCCTGGACCACCTGGACGTTGGCTATTAGGAAATACGATGCCCAATTCATAGTACGTCTTTATCAAGGGACATCAGCATTATCTTTATCTAACCCCTCACGCAGTGCACCCATTCAATTCGCGAGATGGACAGAACAATATGGACCTGTGTTCTCGCTCAAACAAGGCCATAGGATTTTCGTGGTCATAGGACGTCATCAGGTCAGCATAAAACAATTCATTGTCTATCCAGGCATGGTGTAAATCACGTCACAGGCTGCAATCGACATCATGGAAAAAGAGGGAGCAAATCTTGCCGACCGCCCGCGTTCTATTGCAGTGCATGAGACGTTGTCTGGCGGGTTGGGAGTGTTGCTTGAGGGCTCTGGTGAGAGATTGCGCCGGCTTCGCAGGTACACATCTTGTCTCTACCAGGTGCGATCAGCGAGATTGAATGTAAAGCAGAGTCTTGCATGCAGGCCTGCAACCCAAGGTTGCGGAGACCTACGAACCCATCCAGACCAGGCATGCGAAGAATCTGGTTCTAGATGTCTTGAATGATCCAAAGAACCACCAAGGTCATTCCATGCGGTACGAACACTAGCTCTTTCTTGCGCGGTACAGGTGTTAATTCGAAGATTTTAGTTATTCAGCTTCGGTGGTTATGTCCTTCACCTATGGAAAAATTACTCCGACTTCATATACAGATCCTGAAGTCGTTGCCGTCAATAAGACTCTTGCGCATTTTAGTCAAGCTATGAAGCCGGGAGCATACCTTGTGGATACGTACCCAATCCTGCGTTTCGTCCCTGGCTACCTGAGTCAGTTGAAGGCATGGCACAAAGAAGAACTTGCTCTCTATTACAGGCAGTTGGATGCAGTACGAAGACAAATGGTTCGTGCTTTTCTTGTCATGATAGATATGCTCGCTCACCACTGTGAAGCATGAGGGGACTGCAAGACCATCCTTTGCGAGGTTCATGTTAGAGCACCAGAAACAGTACCACCTCGAAGATCAGGAACTGGGATACCTTGCAGGAGTGATATTTGGGGCCGCTTCTGATACGGTAAGTTCTTACATTGCATCGTGTCTCCACTCGACAACTGTTGTAGACTGCGTCCGCAATCACAATGATGATGATGGCTGCTGCCACTCATACAGATGCGCAGGCCCGCGTACAAGAGGAACTCGATAATATCGTGGGGCGTACGCGACGTAGGTCATGCCTTTTCTTTATTTGTCTACTGACTGAGATAGCTCCTGATTAGTGCCGACATTTGATGATCAGGAAATGCTACCACAGGTTACTGCGTTCATGCTTGAGAGTTCCAGGTGGAGACCTGTCACTCTTGGAGGTACGTCTTATTTGAGTTGTGATCATGCGCTAATGAACGACCACCTTTCACTGCAGGCTTTGCGCATCGTGCGACTAGGGACATCGTTTGGAAAAACTACCTCATTCCTACAGGTGCGACTGTGATTGGGAACCATTGGTCAGTAGGCAATCATTTTTGTCCTCTGACCTTTGGGTCTGATGCCCGTGCTTCAGGGCTATCGCAAATGATCCTGAAGTCTTCCCGGAACCACACAGGTTCAATCCTCAGCGTTGGATTGACGATGCGGGTCGTGTGCGCGGTGATCTCAAGTTTTTCACTTTTGGCTTTGGCCGTCGGTGAGTGGCATCGTTCATCTCTCGACCCGTTCTCATTCCTTACTTGAAAATGTCAGAGTATGTCCTGGTCAACATGTTGCGAATCGGTCGGTCTTTATCACCACGGCTCTCATTCTGTGGGCTTTCCGCCTTTCGGAGAATCCTGCAGCGAAGATTGACACGCTTGCATTCTCGGACGCTGCAACCATACATGCTGCTCCGTTTGAGCCATGTTTTGCGAAGAGGATCGATGAGAATGTAATCAGGGAACTATGCGCACCGGGCAAATAAAACGCGTTTATTCTAGAAACTTGAATCTTTGTACAAAGGAGTTTGTCTTGCATTTCGGATTTTTTCGTTGTCTGTCCGACTGATTTCTCGTTACACCTAACTTCATATATCTTCAAACAGGCACGATTATAATAATGAACTTAATCTCCTTGGTGTTCCCACATTCAGTATCTCGATACACTGCGATAGTCTCCAAGTTAGTGGCTGATCATGAACCGTTTACACACAGCCCCCGGACACAATGAGGTACGGTACTGAAGTCCTATCCTTTTATCATTCAATCGTTTTGCCACCCTGCATGCGCTTTCTTTTCTAGCTGGCCAAAACGAAGAACAGGCTCAAAGTTGACACGGGTTTCATTGTGTGCTTCCCAGTGCTTCCGGTCACGGTAGTCTTCAAAGTGACAGCCCCATCAGCTATAATTTTTCTTTGAGGCACCTGCGTTGAAGCACCTTAAGCTATGTGACATCTCTCGTTCAATTCTTACTCGGCGCTTCCAAGGTGAATTCGATTCGGACAACCTGATCTTCCAGAACATGCCTGTCCTTCAACCCTTTAACTTTTCTTCTACGATCCTCCGCCAACATCTGGTTTATGTATTTTCACTATTTGAACATTCTAGACTTTAGTCCACCACCTTTTTTCTCTGACCTCTTCCGGCAAGACAATGATCCTTTCAAAAACCCAGAGGAGTGTTTCATCGATATACTTAATATGTATTTCGATGATGCAAAAATCAGCAGCCCCGCCCTTGCGCTTACTCAACTGTGTCTTGCTTCGTCTGTGACGGCTGTTAGGCGTTTGCATCACATTAATAATCCATACGTGAGACATCGGTCGCGATTATTTGCATAATTCGCTAATCAAGTGCATGCACATGATGCATTTTCTCTTACATAGTACGCATGCCGAAGTTCGGAGCACAACATTTTATTTTTAGAACGGCCGGTGACCTCACTTTGGCACTTTCGCTTCCAAATCGGCGTCCATTCTCGTGATCAGCTGTGTGTTGTAAACCGGACGGTCCTTGTGCAATCCAACGGGTTACCGAGGACGACGAGAACGACAAATCCGATGACGTCAAAATATCTTGGTACTCACGCGTCCACCACTAATCACCAGGCAGTCATCCGACTATTACATTTCGTACGTGAACGTGGAAGGAAGACGGCAGTACATGACTCACATGTCCGATTGATCCGTGCAGGCGTCGAACTTGTGTTCATAAGACGGTGTAATCATGCACCGTAATCTCAGCGTACCCGTCGCACATTACAGCAAGTTCAATGCCGCTCAGTTCTGGAGTACTTAACACGATGCAAAGGCGTGGGGTGTGCTGGCTATCAGCAACCTCAATCATTCAAAGTCTCAATGGCGATTCTCATTGCATGCGTCCTGATTGTCTTGGCCACCGTCTGGATTGTGAAGCAGCGATATCAGGCCGCAAGGCGGCTGCCGTTACCCCCTGGACCACCTGGACGTTGGCTGTTAGGAAGTGCAATGCCAAAGTCATAGTAAGTCTTTATCGAGGAATATAAACATAGTCTCTAACCTCTCACGTAGTGCACCGTTTCAATTCGCGAAATGGACAGAACAATACGGACCTGTGTTCTCGCTCAAACAAGGCCATAAGATTTTCGTGATTATAGGACGTCATCAGGTAAGCATCAAGCAATTCATCGGCTAGCCAGGCATGAAATGGGTCTCGTCATAGGCTGCAGTGGATATAATGGAAAAAGAGGGAGCAAATCTTGCCGACCGCCCAAGTTCTATTGCAGTCCAAGACACATTATCTGGTGGGTTGAGAATGATTCTCGAAGGCAGTGGTGAGAGATTGCGCCGGCTGCGCAGGTAAGTATCTTGTCTCTACCAGGTGCAATCAGTGAGACTAAATGTAAAGCAGGGCCTTGCATGCAGGCTTGCAACCCAAGGTTGCAGAGACTTACGAGCCCATCCAGACTAGACATTCGAAGAATCTGGTTCTGGATATCTTAAATGATCCAAAGAACCACCAAGGTCATGCCATGCGGTACGAACTCTTGCTCTTACTCCCGCGGTACAGGTGGTAATACGAGGATTTTAGTTATTCAGCTTCGGTGGTCATGTCCTTCACATATGGAAAAACCTACTCCGACTTCATACACAGACCCTGAAATCGTTGCCGTCAATCGGTGTCTTGCGCATTTTGGCCAAGCTATCCAGCCGGGAGCATACCTTGTGGATACGTATCCAATCCTGCGCTTCATCCCAGGCTACCTGAGTCAGCTGAAGGCATGGCACCAAGAAGAACTCGCTCTTTTTAACGGGCAGTTGGACGCTGTGCGAAGACAAATGGTTCGTGGTTTTACTGCGACGAGAATTTTCCTTACTCATCACTGTGAAGCGTGAGGGGACTGCAAAGCCATCATTTGCGAGGTTCATTTTAGAACACCAGAAACAGTACCAGCTCGAAGACAAGCAACTGGGATATATTGCAGGAGGAATGTTTGCGGCTGGTTCTGATACGGTATGTTCTTCAAGTTACGTTGCATCGCGTCATAAGTTGACAATTGTTGTAGACTGCGTCCGCAATCACATTTATGATCATGGCTGCTGCCATTCACAGGGATGCGCAGGCTCGTGTACAAGAAGAACTCGATGACGTCGTGGGGCGTACACGGCGTACGTTATATTTTTTTATTTGTTAACCTACCGACTGAGATAGCTCCTGGTTAGTGCCGACGTTTGCTGATCAGGAAATGCTGCCGCAGGTTACTGCGTTCATGCTCGAGAGTCTCAGATGGAGACCTGTCAATTTTGGAGGTACGTCTTATTTGAGTTGTGATGACGCGATAATGGACGACCACCTTTGACTACAGGCTTTGCACATCGTGCGACAAAGGACATCATTTGGAACAACTACCTCATTCCTGCAGGTGCGACTGTGATTGGGAACCATTGGTCAGTAGGCAATCATTTTCGTCCTCTGACCTTTGGGTCTGACGCTCGTACTTCAGGGCTATTGCAAATGATCCTGAGGTTTTCCCAGAACCACACAAGTTTAATCCTCAGCGTTGGATGGACGATGCGGGGCGTGTGCGCGGTGATCTCAAGTTTTTCGCTTTTGGTTTTGGCCGCCGGTGAGTTCATCTCTCCACCTTTTCTTATGCCTTACTTAACAATACCAGAGTGTGTCCTGGTCAACATGTCGCGAATCGGTCCATCTTCATCAACACGGCCCTTATTCTGTGGGCTTTCCGCCTTTCAGAGAATCCTGCAGCAAAGATTGACACGCTTGCAATCTCGGATACTGCAACCGTACATGCTGCTCCGTTTGAGGTATGTTTAGAGAAGAGGATCGACGAGAATGTGATCAGGGAACTATGCGCACCGGGGCAGTAAAGTCGTTTATCTAGGAACTTGAAAGTTCTCATTGTACTCGTATCATATGTGTTGGCGCCGGCGTCCATCGTCTTTTCACAATAATAAAGGCTTTCTTGCCTCTCACCAAAAGCTTTTGACCTTGGTTGTCACGAGTTTTTGTCGAACATAGCTTTATTTGTAGTTCATGCAACACGCGATGCGTCTTATCTGATGTAGTATACTGTGTTATGTCGATTAACCAACAAAATTCTCGTCCACTTTGGGAGTCGAGGATCGCAACAACCGATGAAGTGGAAGCGTGATCACGTGAGATAAAGACAATGACTGACAAAGGTTCCTTGTAAAACTACAAGGTTCACAAAAGATGGAAACAGATCGAACAACGATCATCATTTATCATACACAGGAACATGCGTGCAATCGCTCTACATCGCTTTTCACTCGACTACAACCGTACAGTCATGATCCGAGTTGTATTGAATTATCATGCATCTTGTAATTCCCACTGCAAATTGCGTAGCCTAGCAGTACTTCCAAATTTGACCAGGGCTCCGAGAGTGGTTTGGGATGGCACTTCCTTCTGCTGAAAGACAAGTCCATGCAGTTCCCTCGCAACACCGGGATGTTGGCTCAAGAATGGAAATATAGTTTCACTTATTCAAGAAGCGTAGATCCGCAGACAGCGGTCCGTTTCAACAGGATGTGGCTCATTCTGCGGGAATGTAACGTTAAGCCTTGGTTCCACATTGAGGTCGAGGAGAAGAGCGATGTAGGGGAGATCCGATAGGCACTGGATCGAATCATGCGTGCGAGTGACCAACTTCAAGTTTTGTTCGTGGTAATTCTTCCCCGCTTTGTCGGAAACAAACATCTGTGAGACACGGTTTAGATCGCCGGAGCTGAGGGCAGGATCGTCAAAATAGATGGGAATCATCTTGTCGACGAGCGGCTGCAGGTGACAGCATTGGACCGCGCTTGTGCGATGCCAGCGTCGCGAAGTCCACTCTTTGGCGCTGCATCTAGCACTATACAGAGTGATAATCTTGGAATTAACAGTCGCAATGCCTCGAAGCTTGCTTACCTCAACGAATCAGTATCAGTTTGATCGGGAACTGGCGGTGAGATGAGCTGTCATAGACACCCAGTGCGAGAAATTGATGTAAACATGCTGAAAAGTTGCCTTGGCCTCCTCAACTGTCCTCGACCAGAACGTCTGGTCAAATAGGTACTCCAGGAAATCAATGACGGAGACCTTCCGGTAGTCCATCAGTTCTGCATCTCCACTTCCGTTATAGTATAGATCCCGGATCACGCCTTTGGAGGGGTCCTTGCGGACAAAGAGATCCTTAGCGAGAAGGTCTGACGAATGAATCGTAAAGAAAGTCTGACCAGTACTCATTTAGAATACAACTGACCTGAGATGCAACTGTATGATGTTACAAATCTCTCGCCTTGAGACGACCGCACGGGATCGCTAGCTTGGGGTATTTGAAGTATTTCTGCATTTCGAGCAACTGTCGACAGAGGGACATTTATGTCGCTCGCTGACACGAACACTCACCGAGGTCAGCAATGTGGGAGAACGCGCGCATCTGGCAGGCGTGGCGGATGGTTTCTAGTAGTCGAGGGTGTTTCTGTAGCGTTTTCTTCGTCGATTACACTTCCGTGTCAAGACTACCCTTCAGGTGTTCGCGTTTGAGCAATCTACTGGCCACCGAAATGGCCGCATAGTTTATAACATGATCACAAAGTAGCAATTAGCCCCTTCATCTTCAAGGTCAGCTTCTTCAAGTACGATTCGATCGATCTCACCACGGTGTTCAGATGTGAGAGGCAGGAGTGTTATGGGAAGATGGTGTAACCTTGATGGACCTGACATGGTGTCGAGCGTGTCGATGTATAAGTGATTAAAATTCTGACCTTGTCCTATTCGAAAAGGTTGAAAGATAATTCAAGCGACGCGTCTGAGACCACAGCTGCCTTAGTATTAACAGTCCGCGCTTCTGTGCCAGCATCCCCAGGAGGAGTACCAAACTGTATCATTCGAACTTGAAGCTTCATGAAGGGAGAGAAATACTATGTTACGTAATGCGCGATTCATTGGCAATTATGTGGCGTGATTCTCGAGGAAACGCCTGGTGCCCCACCTCGAAGTCACATCGAATATCGATCAAACCAAACCCGATATCAAAGTTTACGAACAATGATCCGTTACCAATATAGACACCATCATCAAACCAATAGAAACGAACATCAAAGCGAGCTTTGATTTGGGACAGCGTCGATGAAAAGTATTTATACTCAGGTGAGCACCCCCTTCGTCAAGCTGACCTTCATTCCTATCATGACATTTCATAGCAAGGCTTATTTCAACGCACGATCGAGGGTGCAGCAGCAGAAGTGACAGGATATGAATTCAACGTTTACGGGCATATCAAGTCAACGTTTGCCAGGCGTCGCTGAACTCAGTCTTGCAGATGATGTCTGCATTCCTTTAGAAAGGGATACCCACGCTCGTGTTTCGGTCACCACCTTCCGTTATCTCATTTTCAATGATGCTGCTAGCGTTCCCAATGATCCCGTCCTCCATCGTCTCGCGCTGAACACGATGGGACGCTCCTTTTTGGGATGCTCACACAACGAAAGACTTCATCTTAGGGTTTCTCGCTGCACTTTAAAGGTTCGGCATCATTCAGTTAGTGCGCTGATCACCTTCCTGAATCATTTTCAGGACATCAAGGACTCGTAGAGCAAGGCATTTTCATTCAGATACGAGTCCAGGCGATATCTTTGTCGGTGTTCCGGATTGTGCTGAAGGCTGGGAGAGGCTTGTCGCAGATCTCAAACCTTCCTCGGTGGCACAGCCATAGACTGAAACCGTAGTCTCATTGCATCTGCTCTCCCTCGCTATGGGCCAGGTGAACACTATAAGTGTCTTTCTAGAGGAACCCGTTCTGTCGAGCTCAAGGGCTCCTGGCTCAGAGATCACAGTACATCTACTTTGCGACTTGACTGCTTTGTTTGTGGCTGAAGGACTTCCACCCATGAGGACAAGAAGAAAATTCGACCGGCGCAAAATGCAGCTGTTCGCAAAAACGGAGCGAAGTACTGTCATCATTTTTGCAAACAGCTGTAATCGCGAGGTACACCACGACCTGGAGTCATCTATTCTTGTTCTTTTCCATTCGGTCATGAAACGTGATCTGGAGCGCCGACTCTGGCATTCTCAGATCCAAGAATTTTATGGCATCGTGCTTTGTTCGGCTGTCATACTATTCGGCTCATCCGACAAGGACGTCCTGTTCTCTCGATGGGAGCGATCTCCTTGTGTATCTTTTAGGTGTTCTGGACTTGCCAACGGCACAACTATTTTATGGCTGTCGGAGGCTTTTGAAAATTCAGCGATTCTTCAACTTTCCTACAATGAAAGTATAACAGAAATTGATCAGAAGATGCAATGGCAGAGCGGCTCGGAGGAACTGAAGGTAATCACTCATGCGGCATGCCCAGTTGTTTGTCGTCAAAGAAGAGAAGGTTAGGCAAAGTTAGGCATAGGCGTAGTCAAGCGGCTACTGAAGTTGGCAACGATTTATTTTTAGAATGATGACTCACTTTAGCTAGACTCTGAGCACTGTCATAGACGGTCACGACTCTACTAGCCAGTACACTTTGGCACTTTCGCTTCCGAGTCGACCTTCATTAAAATGTTTTGTAAACCTTTGTTGGTCGACGGTCCTGTGGCACGACCAATCCAATGGGTCATAGAGAACGACATAAAGATCCACTTTAATCTTTGGATGGATCATGGAGTTGATATGTTTTGGCATCATTCGCGTATCCGCTACTAATCACCAGGGTAGCCATTAGGTTCCTACTATACTATAGGAAGACCGCAGTACACCACATCCGATTGATGGCGGAGGTGTTGAACTTGTCTTTGTACAAGTCAGTGCAATCATGCAATCTCACCGTACCCATCGCTCATCACAGCAAGTCACTGCTCTGTCACTCTGGAGTACTTAACATGTTGCAAAGTGGTGGGTTGTTGTAACTATCAGGAAGCTCGACCATTCAACAATGGCGATTATCATTGCATGCACCCTTATTGTCTTAGCCAGCGTCTGGATTGTGAAACAACGATATCAGGCCGCGAGGCGGTTGCCCTTACCGCCTGGACCGCTTGGACATTGGCTATTAGGAAATACGATGCCGAAGTCATAGTAAGTCTTTGTCAAGGGATATTAGCATGGTCTCTATCTAACCTCTCACGTAGTGCACCGTTTCAATTCGCGAGATGGACAGAACAATACGGACCTGTGTTCTCGCTCAAACAAGGTCGTAGGATTTTCGTGATTATAGGACGCCATCAGGTAAGTATAAAGCAATCCATCGTTTAGTCAGGCACGAATGATTCTCGTCATAGGCTGCGGTGGATATCATGGAAAAAGAGGGAGCAAATCTTGCTGACCGCCCGCGTGCTATTGCGGCGCAAGAGACTTTATCTGATGGGTTGAGAGTGGTCCTTGCGGGCAGTGGTGAGAGATTGCGCCGGCTGCGCAGGTACGCATCTTGTTTCTACAAGGTGCGATCAGACTAAATGTAAAGCAGGGTCTTGCATGCAGGCTTGCAACCCAAGGTTGCGGAGACCTACGAACCTATCCAGACCAGTCATGCGAAGAATCTGGTTCTGGATATCTTGAATGATCCAAAGAACCACCAAGGTCATGCCATGCGGTACGAACACTAGCTCTTTCTTGCGTGATACAGGTGGTAATACGAAGATTTTAGTTATTCAGCTTCGGTGGTCATGTCCTTCACGTATGGAAAAATTACTCCGACTTCATATACAGATCCCGAAATCATCGCCGTCAATCAGTCTCTTGTGCGTTTTGGTCAAGCTATGAAGCCGGGAGCATACCTTGTGGATACGTATCCAATCCTGCGTTTCGTCCCAGGCTACCTGAGTCAGTTGAAGGCATGGCACCGAGATGATCTGGCCCTTTTTAACGGGCAGTTGGACGCTGTGCGAAGACAGATGGTTCGTGTTTTTTTGTAATGTCAATATCCTCGCTCACCAGTGTGAAGCGTGAGGGGACTGCGAGGCCATCATTTGCGAAGTTCATTTTAGAGCACCAGAAAGAGTATCAGTTCGAAGACAAGGAACTGGGATACATTGCAGGAGGAATGTTTGGGGCCGGTTCTGATACAGTAAGCTCTTACGTTGCATCGCGTCTCAACTTGACAACTATTATAGACTGCGTCCGCAATCACAATTATGCTCATGGCTGCTGCCACCCACACAGATGCACAGGCTCGCGTACAAGAGGAACTCGATAAAGTCGTGGGTCGTACGCGGCGTAGGTTATTCTTTTGTTTTACTTATCTGCTGACTGACATAGCTCCTGATCAGTGCCGACATTTGATGATCATAAAATGTTGCCACAGGTTACTGCGTTCATGCTTGAGAGTTTCAGGTGGAGACCTGTTAACCTTGGAGGTACGTCTTCTTATTTTAGCGGTAATGACGCAATAAATGAACGATAACCCTGCACTACAGGTTTTGGGCATCGTGCGACTAAGGACATAGTTTGGAGAAACTACCTCATCCCGGCAGGTGCAACTGTTATTGGGAACCATTGGTCAGTAGCCAATCATTTTCGTCCTCTCACCTTTACATCTGACACTCGTATTTCAGGGCTATCGCAAACGATCCTGAGGTCTTCCCAGAACCGCACAAGTTTAATCCTCAGCGTTGGATTGACGATGCAGGTCGTGTGCGCGATGATCTCAAGTTTTTCGCTTTTGGTTTTGGCCGCCGGTGAGTAGCATCGTTCATATCTCGACCCGTTCTCATACCTTATATAAGAGTTTGTCCCGGTCAGCATGTCGCGAATCGGTCCCTCTTTATCACCACGGCTCTTATTCTCTGGGCTTTTCGTCTTTCTGAGAATCCTGCGGCGAAGATTGATACGCTTGCTTTCTCGGATACTGCAAACATATATGCTGCTCCGTTCGAGATATGTTTGCAGAAGAGGATAAATGAGAATGTGATCAGGGAACTGTGCGCACCGGGGGAGTAAAGGCGTTTATCTAGGAACCAATTTCATACAAATTTCATAGTATATATAGTCAATATTAATGTTTTGTGCGTGGGAATCTATTTAGGATCTTGTTAGCCCTGTAGCGCCGGCTTCAAACCTATACGCACAACGCTGGATTATCCACATTCGACATGGGCAAACTGAACATCGCTCATCATAAATCATACCACCCCTACCGCCGGGATAACATCGAACGCGTACGGAAAGATGAAGAGGAAGCTGCGCAAAAGGAGGCCGAGGCCGAGGGAAGGGTGGTGTTGGCTGATGCAGAAGCTCGGTTGGACCTCCTCCGAGAGCGTGCAGGACTCGGGAAAGGAAAGGGAAAGAAGAAAGAGGATGATATGAAGGTTATAGAGGATGCTAAGGCCTCCATCATTGCCGGGGATTCGAATCAAGGTCATATCAATCTATTCGAGGATCTAGAACAGGTTGGTTTGTTCCTGACGTTTTGTGCGCATATACTGATATGGTGCTAGCAAGAAATGATTACTTCAATACGAGCGACGAAGAAGACTGCACAGCTGGAGACTGAGAAGGGTGTGCCACTGGCTCCCAGTGCTAAGGACCTCAACCCATGGTACAGCGAGCGCGATAAGGGAAAGGAACATGAGGAGGATGAGAAGAGCAAACGCTTAAGGTATGCAGTTCATACTGCTCCAGCCTTATATTCATGACTTCCCTTCAATATCTCAGATTGCGGGATCTTGCTTCAAAAACTATGAATGACCCTCTCACAGCCATCACACATCAGCTTGCATCGAGCTCTTCGTCGAATAATTCGTCCCCTGTCCCTCGGCCGTCGTGGCATCGTTCCAAATATCGCACCCCACCTGATTCAAATGATAAGATGAAACCGCCTCCCCCACCCTCGGATGCAACGACCATGCGCCTCACACGTGAATCATCAGAACGCGAACGCGCGCTGGCATTGATTCGGCGCAAGCAGCGTGAAATGAGAGGCAGCGAGACGCCGAGCACTGTGCATGGTGGCCAGGATGAAGGGTATGGGGACGTATTCAACCGGCGGGAAGTCGAAGAAGCGCATTCATATCGACGAAGGCGGTGGTAAGTACATTCCTTGTTCATGAGACCTATATATTGCGTTGTATGCTCTACATCCCACGGTGGCGCTACTACGGGTTGTTCTACCGATGATTTAGGTATATGGCTTGTTCCTGGAGATGCTAACGGGTGACTTGCCCTGTCATTTGGCCAATCAGGAAAGACCCATTTTTTCAAGAAAGAAGTTTGATGATTACGGTGAGCTTACTGCGCCGGTAGCGTTATAATGTTTAAACAGATGCTCTCCTCTCGTCACGGAACCTATCTGTCGACAAATTCAAAGATCAAATTCCAGACACTCTACCTGGTGATGACCCTGAGTATAGACGAACGCTAAAAAAATTGTAAATTGCTATTCAAGTTCGCACATCTTAAAAGAAGCAGACCACGCACCCATTGACGCGCCTGAACAAACACCAGAAGACTCAGCAATGCTTACTCCGCCCGGGATCTTTCGCCATCAACTGGATCTCAAAATAAATTGCGCATGCGCTATTCAATGCGGTCGAGAGGGGATTGGTGAGAAATGCCCGAGTACAAAACTCGTCGAAGTCCAGCTACTCAACAATCTCGAGAACCACTGCATTCCACGTCTCACGTTTTCTTTTCATCCTTACCTCCAATTGGACAATGAATCTCCTTTGTGATTAACTTACGCGGCTAATTTCAATAGCTGCCCGGCATGGTCTCACTCTCGCACAGTTCTCGATCTCAGAACAGATCCTTTTGCTCAAAGTTCAAGATAACATATCGGACATGCGGCCGCGGCTGCAGACGCAGACCAATGTGGTAAGGAATTCTCAAAGCGAATTACTACTTATTCTTCTCGTTAGCGTTGTACCTCCGAGTCTTCCCCCCTCCGCCCACCGCTTTTCACACAGTAGTCATGATTTTACGCATCTATCAGTTCTTGAGATCGTTTTCTACACATGGCGTTACTCGAAATCGCTGTTCGTTTGTGCCCGCCTACCCGGCGGCGGCTTAATCCTTCAGCGTCCGGCCCGAGCTGACAGCTGCTGCTCAACCTCACGACGCCTTCGCACTCGATCCGTTCCATATCATCGCAACAGTCGAAGTTGGAATGAAAGACACGCGATTATGCCATTTGCAACAATGGTTCTGCCAGTTCTGCCAGCAGAACTATCCTCAAAATGATTTTGTCCACAATACTACATGGTATAACTGTGTGACGGTAACTTGACGTACCAAACCAGGGCAGCCATATATACACAATGAGGCGGCTGTCCTTCATATATATGCATCTTAACCAATTCATAACTGGTTATGGCGTTCGACGTGCCCGAGTCGTTCTCGCTCGCACCTACCTGGATTTTCATAGGAGCAGTAATTGTGGTTGTGCTTGGCGAGTACTGCAAAGGAAGATGTTTTGCCAAACATGCATTCCCACTACCCCCTGGACCTCCAAGGAGTTGGTTCTGGCGTAGTGCTATGCCATCAAACAAGTCAGTTGTGTTCGTACTTCCTAAACAAACTATTGAATTTCTACTTCAGTGTGACCCATATAATCACACAGTGGATACAACAATATGGTCCGGTCGTCTCTGTACGCCAGGGAAATCAAGTCTCGGTCATCATCGGAAGTGTAGAGGTACGTGGTCAGTTGCTGGATATTGTACTTCACGAGGACTGACGGTTCTCTAGACAGCCAACGATATTATGGAGAAAGAAGGGAGTGCTCTCGTTGACCGCCCTCAAGCCATAGCTGCTGGTGAAATGTTTTCTCAAAATATGCGTCTTGTGCTTATCCGTGTCGGGTCACGATTTCGTCGGTTTCGCAAAGCGGCAAATGCACAGTTACAACCAAAGGCAATTGAAGCCTACCGAGACATACAATCAGAGGATGCGAGACAGCTTGTGTACGATATTTTGAAGGCACCAGAGAAACACCAGGAACATGTGAGACGGTGGGTTATTAGTATCGCTCCTGTAGTCATTGATTTTGCCAAACCACAATGTAGATTTTCGAATTCGGTCATCCTGCGTATGACATATGGGAAGTCGAGGCCAACCGCGTACACGGATCCTGAGGTAGTAGGTATGAAAATTGCAGCAGAACGTTTTGGAATTGTTATGCAACCCGGTGCTTTTTTGGTTGATCGCATCCCTATTCTGCGTTACGTACCCTGGTACGGACGTCAATTGAAGGCCTGGTTTCGTGAGGAGTATGAACTGGTACTAGGGCAGATGGAGCGGGTACAAAATGAGATAGCGAGTCGTATTTCTATTGCGGTGTGTTTTGTGCGCTGATATCTTTTTCAGGCAAGTGGTCTCGCTGGGCCATCTTTCATGTGTACACTTCTCGAGCAGCATGGGCATCAGCTATCGAGAACTGAGATGTGTTATTTGGGAGGAACGATTTTTGGTGCCGCTACTGACAATGTAAATAATTTACGTATTGGTCAGTGAACGGAATTGATAGTTCATGTTTAGATTTCCGCGGCCATCACCATTGCTATCCTGGCAGCGGCTTGTCATCCCGAGGCTCAAGCGCGTGTACAAGAACAGCTAGATACAATCGTAGGTAGAGAACGAGGTATGTCCCGCTTTTATGGTTCAAATGCGGGATGGAGTTGGTATGAGATACTCAATTTCTTATTCACAGCCCCATCTTTCGAAGATGTTCAGCGTCTTACTGAGTTGCACGCATTTATGCATGAATCGTTGCGCTGGAGGCCTGTTGTCCCGCTTGGTAGATTATCTTCCTTCCGTTGTCAGCGACATCTAACTGTTAGCACAGGTTTTCCCCATCGTGCCACGAGGGATATAATATGGGTGTGTAAAATTGGTGTTCTTGAAACTCGGACTAGATATCATATTGTGGATTAATACTTGTGCGTACAGAAAGGATTTCGGATCCCTGCTGGCGCAACAGTCTACGGCTGTCACTGGTGCGATCGTTCATCCGTCCTCTTTGACTTATCGGGTGACTGTTGCACATCACAGGTCTATTTCTCATGATGCAACTGCTTTTCCTGACCCCGAAAACTTTGACCCCCAGAGATGGGTTGAACCCTGCGGGCGCATTCGTCCCGATCTCAAGTCTTTCCCATTTGGCTTTGGCAGGCGGTCAGTTGTCTGATCGAGTCGGCGATATTCGGCTAACAGATAAATCAGTGTTTGTCCAGGACAGTATCTCGCAAGTGATTCTATCTTGATCACTCTTGCGTGTTTGTTCTGGGCTTTTCGAATCTTGGAACCCAAGGATGCGCCCATAGATAGGTGGGCATTCAAAGACAATGTTGTTGCACACCCGCAACCGTTTTCGGTCATGTTTTTCCCAAGGTGGGATGTGGGGCATTTGGAAGAAATCGTGGGGCAATCCTAGTCACGCACTATGATAACCTTTTGAAACTATGTACTGTCAGACGCGTCCACTATGATCCATTCCGTTCGTAGTAGCTTGGTCCGGAAAGCGATGGTAAATCAATAGTGCAATACATCAAAGCAGGCGAATATCCTCCTTGACTGGTCAACAAACAACGGATACGGTATAGACAACACCATTCTGCACCCCAAGTGCCTGCCGTTGGACACCTTCGTCGATCGGCCTGCACTTTCTGCTTATAAATATTACTCTGCATTCCGGTCGGAACTAACGAGTCGATACAAGAGCAATTCTGTGACCCTGTAAAGTGACACAGTACTAGTGGGTGTTGTCTCATACTATACTTACACCAGTTCCATTCAGCCCCCTGCTGGCAGAAGATCAACGTTCAATGCTGCTGAAGATATGTCGGCATCTACCCAATCCCGTGCAGTCCCGGGGATTGTGAGACAGCTTCCTGATTTCAATAAAGACCAGTCAGAAGACGGCTCGTGGCTCGTCCAATATCAACTGCAAGATGCTCACCACTTGAAGTGAATGCGCGATGTCAAAGCCGAGTGTGCCGGTGTCCGGATAACAGGAAAGGCTGAAAAGAGTTATTGCTGCAGCCAAGACACTTGGACCTCTGCAAAGATCGATTCTCAGGGGAGCAGTATTAGAAGGAACGAAGGTCTTTCTTCAATAGGTCTGACAAGTTAGGAGAGACTCAGGGACAAATCTCATGTGCACTGGCAACCTCGCGATGCTGCAAGGCAAGTGTCTGTAAGATTACTCATATATTACTATTCCCATATGGCACAGATGAGCTGACTAGTTCGGTCAATTGCCAGGAGGCCCTGACTGAATCCGGAATCATGATGATGATAAGAGTTCTGGGCACTCACTCATCGAAAGACGAAGTTGTCTTGCATCGACTTTCTCAAGGTATCATGTTCATCTGGCAAATGAATGAGCGTCCAGTGCAAGAGCGGGCAGCCTTGGGCACTCACGGAATGATGAGCACCATGCCTTTTCAGAGCGAAAGACTATCCAGGCCCACAAGGGTCCAGGGAACGAATTGTGGTTTCTAGTAGGCAAGATTTTTCCTGTTGTGGGACCGCGGAGTTTTAAAAAGTAGCCTCTGACACTACCTTTTTGGTCTTGCACGTCGAGCAGCTTTAGCAACGAGTGAAGCACACTCTTGCCCTTTTCTCTGTTATCAGGTGCACGACTTACTTGCAGATGGCCCGGAATGTTTTAACTACGCTGTACCCGGTCGCACCACGGATTTGATAGCCGAATTATCCGGACAAGCTGATTGTGTACTTGAAGTAAGAATGCAAGTCTAGGACTCTAGCGGCAATCTGCTGGTTACCGCGTGCTAAATTGTTCAGCATCTCCCGCGGTAATGATGATGGGCTAGGTTGCGCTAGGTGAGCCCATTCCGAACGTAGTGAAACGCATATTCCATGTGTTAGAAGGAATCACTTACATGGACAAATTGTAGTTCCGTGGCACCTCGTGGTACACCTGCTCCAAGCCTTGCTGTCATACTGCGGATTCCCCAAAATGCAGGCGCACTGTTCGGAACTGTATGTCATGAGTTTGTTCATAACCGCATACCTCTCCTGTCAGCTCTTGAGGTACTGCTAATCAAGAGGTTACCCAATTCCGCTAGTCGTCCACTTCATTACCCTCAGCAATATAAAAAGGTGTTGGGTTGTGTCCACTTTCCTCATTACTTTCGCTTTTATCACCCGAAGGAAGCAATGTCGCATTACTCAAAGTCTCTCCTGTTGAGTTCACTGTTAGCGTTATCTACTCTTGTCTCAGGGTTGGGCAGATCCTGCTCAGCACCGTTGGGTGGTGGAACAGCGGCTCCAAGTGATCCGTATTGGCTTCAGACTATCAAGCATCAAGGAACTTCGGCTTTCAACTCGGACCCCAGTTCTTACCAGGTTTTCAGGAATGTCAAGGATTTTGGAGCCAAGGGCGATGGTATCACCGACGATACTGCTGCTATCAAGCAGGTTATTTTTCTTTACCCCAAACATTAACTTACTCATATCCCAGCTCGGCCATGTCCTCCGGTGGACGTTGCGGCGGCGGATCTTGTAATTCTTCCACGTCAGTGCAGAGCGTCACTGATTCTCTGCGAATACATTAACCGATTGTGGCATTCAGTGTTACTCCTGCCATCGTGTATTTCCCTACGGGGTAGGTCTGTTCGTTCATATCACGAGATTGCCTGCTGACCATCGGACAGGACTTACCTCGTCTCCTCGGCGATTGAGACGTACTATTACACGCAGATTATTGGGGATGCAAAGAAACCCCCAACCCTCCTTGCCAGCTCGTCTTTCAATGGATTTGCAGTCATCGGTACCTGATCCGTCATTTTCAATGTAGACGCCACCTTACGGAAAATTTTACCCAGATGCTGATCCTTACATTCCCGATGGTTGGGGTGCTCAATGGTTCACTAACCAGAACAACTTGTGCGCTATTTTTTCTGCGAACGGTGTAGCATAGCTCATGGGCGTCTAGCTATCGTTCCGTTCGCAACTTGATAATTGACCTTAGGCAAATCCCTGCATCAACTTCTGCAATTGGTTTGCACTGGCAGGTTTCGCAGGGCACTTCGCTCATCAATATTGTGGTCGAGATGTCCACCGCTTCTGATAACAACCACCAAGGAATGTTCATGGAGAATGGGAGGTGAGAGACTCGCTTTCTTATCTCAGACCTTACTTCTCAACCTATCACTATCAGTGGCGGTTTCATGGGAGGTGAGCATTTTGAATCTGTTTTGATACGAGAATAAGAATGTCAAATTCGCATGGCAGACATTATGTTCAACGGAGGTAAATCCATGTGATTGCTTTTATTATTCTTTTTGTAACATTCCGCCAGGAAAGTACGGTATTCAAGTTGGTAACCAACAATTTACGGTCCGTAATCTGACCGTCAACAATGCCGCAACTGGTTTGTCCTCTCGTCTATCAATATGTGATGATACTAAATACCCATATCGATCGACAGCTGTCTCTGGCATCTGGAATTGGGGTAATGATCAGCTTATTGAAATCTATGCAGTTCTCATGTTCTTCCAGGATTCACGTTTCAAGGAGTCACGATCAATAATTGCAAAGTATGTGTTTAACTTGTGAATATTACCAGTGAGAATTGACAGATGACAGATCGGCTTTGATTTGGCGACCGGTGGAACGTCAAAAAGCAATCAGGTTCGCCTTCGCGAGTGTTTGAATTTGCAAATAGCTAAATACTATCTAGACCGTCGGTTCAGAGGCTATCATCGATGCAGTTGTGACCAATACCTCCATTTTCGTTCGCTCTTCGGTAGCGAGCAATGGTCAACTGGCTGGCTCCCTCGTTCTCAACAACATCAAGCTGAGCAATGTTCCCACCGCAGTTGGTGTTGCAGGTGGAACTAGCAGTTCTCGCTGGTGGTACGACGACAATCGCTTCCTGGGGTCAAGGAAATGTGTATTCCGGAACCAGTGGGTCCAAGACATTTACACAGGGAAACATCGTCTCTGCAAATAAGCCCTCCGTACTTTTGGATAGCGCTGGACGAATCTTCGGAAAGGCTCATCCTCAGTACGAGAACTATGCTGTCAGTCAATTCATCAGCATCAAGAGCCAGGGTGCAAAAGGCGACGGCCACACAGATGACACTACCGCTATTCAAAACGCTCTTGATGAGGTGTGGTTTGTTACTTCCTTTGTTGAAGTCAAGTTGACGACTGTTATCAGTACGCTGGATGCAAGATCATCTTCTTCGATGCCGGAACGTATTATGTGACCGATACCATCACCATCCCCGCTGGAGCTCAGATCGTCGGTGAAGCCTGGTCAGTCATCATGGCTGGTGGGAGTGCTTTCAGCGATCAGAAGAACCCTCGTGTGGTTATTCAAGCAGGCGCAGCAAATTCTCAAGGTGTCCTGGAGATAAGCGATATGGTCTTCACCACTGCAGGCCCTAGTACGTGTGGAAATAGTCTACCTTGTTTCTGAACCTGATCTCTCACAGCTGCCGGTGCCATCATGATCGAGTGGAACGTGCATGATCCATCTGGTCAGCAAGCAGCGGCAGGAATGTGGGACAGCCATATTAGGTTGGTTTTGGTTCTCTCGTGGATTCGGGATGCGCTAACGATAATGGTACAGATTGGGTGGAGGTAAATCTTTCGAGATTTGTTAATGCAGAAACGTTCTAACTTCTCCTTGTTAGCTGCCGGAACAAACATGCAGTATTCACAATGTCCCCCAGGCTCTGTCAATAGCGCCTGTCAAGCTGCTTTCCTTGGGATGCATTTGACTTCTGGATCGAGTGCATACCTTGAAGTACGAGGATTAGAAGCCCAAAAAGCTTCTCTAATTTGATATTGTCGCATAGGGCACATGGGTCTGGACCGCCGACCACGACCTTGATACTTCCGGCTCCTCTAATATCTCGATCTTTACTGGTCGCGGGATTCTTTCCGAGTCTCGTGGCCCAGTATGGCTTATTGGCACATGTGCGTGGCTTTTGTGACTCTCGTGACCTCACCCTGACAACTTGACCTAGCTTGTGAGTGATCACCAAACTGGGACATTGTCGCAATGCTTATTCGAGCAGCTGAACACGCTGTGCTGTACCAGTATAGCCTGGTGAACGCTCAGAACCACTATATTGGCTTTGCCCAGACTGAAACGGTATGAACTGATCTTCCTATCAGGTTCATTCTATCTGATGCCGCTCAAGCCGTATTACCAACCCTCTCCGGCTGCTCCAGCACCTTATAACACTGTCTCGACCTACAATGACCCTACCTTTTCGAGTTCGATCGACATGGCCTGGGGAATGTACATTCAGTCTTCGAACAACATCATCATATTTGGTATCTACTCTAACTTTCCCTGTTCTTGCACGCCATTAATAATCACACGCACAGGAGCGGGCTTCTATAGTTTCTTCCGGGTGAGTGGACTGCGCTATCCGGATCTTTTGTTGCTTATCCGAATCGATTATTCGTTCAGAACTATAGCCAGGACTGTTTGACCACCAACACTTGCCAACCACAAATTTTCAACGTCGACTCCGCGTCAAACGTCACTGCATACAGTGTGTCAACCATAGGTACTACATACCAGCTCAGCGTGTCACAGGATGGGGTCATCCGCTCCAGCGATAATGCCGATGGGTTCCAAGAGACTTTCACAGCTTGGAGCAAGTAGGAAGGATTAATTGAATCCGGCAGTGCTAAATTTGAATACATCATACGAGAAGTCTGTGGTTTCCAGTAATACAAGTCCCTGCGCGAGAGAATACGAATTCATAACTACAAAAAAATTGAGTAGACGGTGGGCTTCATAAAGTAAGGTAAAACAAGTTCTGGGAAATTGGCTAGTTGAGAGTGAGAATTTGCATGCGTTCCTCTCGTGTAGCATACAACAGCAAATAAGGGAATCCTTCAGCTTTTCGCTTAGCAGCTGCTTCGCGAATTTGCTGAGCATACGTCATGTAAATAGTAGGCATGGACGCTGTGATTCCCTTCCAAGTCTCTTCATCGGTGATCCAGGAGGCATTCTTCACCAGGGTATCAAAGACCGCATTCGGAACATCAACAGCAAGCATCGGCAATCCATTTTGCACTGCCGTTTTGAGATGCTCGGCCCTTTCGTACGCTAAATAAACGTCAGTCGACTTGAAATTACATCTGTAATTGGCATTACCTCGATCGAGAAGGATTTGTTTGACATGCTTTTTCTGCTTCTTCGTATCGACGGGTAGAATGAGTTGTACTTCAGGGGCGGATGCGTCCTTGGATGGTGCAGGAATCGTAAGAGTATCAGGGTAGGCAGATGAGCCTGAAGTAGCCAAGTCTACGCGTTTCTGCTCAGCAATCTGGTGTTGAAGCCAGCCGACAAGATCTTGGCGTGAAACTGCCCTTCGATCAGCCTCGAAAGATGGAAAAGTTCAAAAAATTCAAACCTTCATAAATCGTGCCCTTCAAGATGCTTTTCACTTTGAAAGCGGGCTGCTCGCGGCGCACGGTGCGGGGTCGAGGATAAATGGCAAATCTTATGCCAGACATCAGTGTAGATGTTTTAGGTAATTCTGGTTTTGAACTTACAATATTCCTTCGCGTGAGCATGAGTCGACGTGACTTTCATGTTCATATTCCAGGAGATTGGCATCGTACATGATATCGGCGCTGATGTTATTTTGCCACAGTAGAGAAGCAACCTCCAAACGGTCCTGCAAGTAGCCTGTCTGATATGAAAGGACGTAAACGTCGCATCTCCGAGGGCTCCAGAAACCGAATGAACGCTGTTCCTTAACGAGTGCTTTGACAGAGGTGCTCTGGAAGGCCGCTAAGGCCATCGCGATCTTCTCAAGAGCGATTTGTACGGCGAATGCACAGATAGGATCCGTTCTAGGTTTCAGATTGGAATACTGAGCGATAAGATTGTCGTATCTGTTATAGATGTCAAGTAACATCAATTTCAACATTGGATTCCATACCGTCCGGCTGCAGCGAGAACATCCAGCCGCCTAGTTCGTCTGACCACTTCGATACGCACTCCCTCCTTGAAATGCATGTGATGAGCGCCCCACATCAATGGATGGAAGAAGACGGGAGCCGAGAAACCCGCAGATGTGGCAAATTGAATTGTTTGCTTGATTTCCTCTACAGCGGGCTTCATGACCGTAACAAGGGTGGGCGAAACCTTCTCAAGTTTGGATAGGAGGGTGTCGATGTCCTCATCTATTCCTGCAATTAGCTTATGCGCATTGACGCCTGTTTTCAAATCACCTATTTCAGCAAGGGCTTCTAATTCATCCGTCGTACTCCTCAAGAGGCCTTTCTTCAACAAAGAGACTCGCTTTTGTGGAGCAGTGGACTTCGACTGGTTGATGATTTCTATCACCGAAGAACGGAGCTCCTCCGGAATACGATTCAAAGCAAGATCCGCGACTAGTTCTATGTCAGTGAAAGTCGAGAAAACACAAAAAGCTTCATACTCTTAGAATGAGAGATATGGATCTCGTAGTTCTGAGCAAGATTTGGGAAACTGTTCAAGCAATTGCTGAGAAGAATGAGGAACTCGGCTCCAGCCGCCATCAGCCCATGCTTGGTATCGGGAGTGATGATGTCAAGAACCGCTGCTTTTGTAGCCTTTGGATGTCCTGGGGCAGAGCTGCGGATAGAACCTTCGTTAAAAACACGTTTTGAAGAAGCTTGGAGAGACTCACTTTGGCCGATAGATATTCGTGATATGGAATCGCTTGATTCTTCGCAGGCCGGCTCGTGCAGCCAACCGAGCGAAAGGTACTAGCGCGTTGTTGGGCAAGCAAACCATTTCTCCGTGACGATCAATGAGGGTAGCATGATTCTGGCTCTCTTCGGGATTGGATAATGGTAGCAAAAGCGGAGGTTCCATGTCAACTGCGCCATGAAGTCGGAAGATGGCTGCGATTCGGTCCTCAACGATGTCGTTCAGGTACGCGTGCTCGGGAATTTCAGCTTCAATGTCGTACAAATAGCTTCGAGCCTGATTTACAGGCTGATTAAACAAGGCAGACAATACGCCCTGGTGGTACGGAGAGTCTGGTTTAGCTGCCGTTTGCGCATAAGCATCATCGATCTTCGTACAGATATATACATACTCATCATCCGTAGAGCTCCTTTGAAGTATTCATCCTCTACTCTGGGAGGGAGAAGAGAGCTCTGTGAGAGTTCCAGTGCAGATGGGCGCCCGGCAGGGTCATGGCGAAGGAGCGCAGAAATAACTACGATGGTTCAGCGCGTTAGACTACTTTTGATCGATTTGAACCAACTTTGTTTTTGGCTAGAACGGTGAGGCTCCCAATCTCGAGGGAAGTATACCTCCTGCTTCCTTAGGTCTTCGAGCACAGCTATACGCTCCGCTCCCGTGGAGAAAAGAAAGTTCATCTCGAAGAAAACAATCTAAGAAGATTCAGGCTATGTTCGACGGGTTCTCAAAGCTTGCTCACCCCCAAACTGTACATGTCGGCTTTGTTGTGATTGCGAGGTCCTCGTTTCCTAGACTGGACTTCTGGAGCGATGTACAACTTAGTTCCGACCTCTGTTCAGCGTCAGCGATAACCATTGTTGAACGATTTGAGACAAACCGAGTGTTAGTTCAGAGTCTGAATGGACGACAGACGGTGATAGATCTGAGGGGTCAACAGCAGCTAAGCTCGACGTGGCCAAACCAAAGTCTCCGACTGGTCACAACGTCAAATATAGCACTCGAGAGCACAATAAAGTACTTGCCTTTGCAGTCCCCTTTCCCATCTGAGTGAAGGGTGAGCGTATCGGAACAGATAGTAAGAGTAGTGCATACCAATGAAGATATTCGTGAGCTTGATATCTCGGTGAAGCTGGCGTGACGTGAGAACAGACAGTAGATCAAGTGAGACTCCACATACAATACCCATGCTACCCATGTGCACCAAGGCATCGAGGATTTGATAAAACAACCGCCAAGCCTCTTCTTCAGACAAACCCTCTGCCACTCGCTAGACAATGATTATTCAATCGATTCATGTAAAATATGGGTAACGAATGTCGCACCTCTTTCAGAGTCTGACGCTCAACAAATTCCTGATTGAAGACATAAATTTAGTGAAGACGCTTATGGTGTACAAATCTTACCATCTGTATGTACAACGTTCGGGGCTGGATAGGATCTTTCGGAGTATCTTCGTCTGTGGTATACTCCGAGGAAAAGAGGTTTCCGAAATCTCCATCGCTGTCATCATCCTCTTCATCCTCTTCGTGGTTATCATTCTTGATCTCGGGTCGTGTGAAATGAATGCTCGGAAAAGACGTCTTATTGGACCCATAATCGTCCAACTCTTCCAATTTTACCTTGAATGGATCGGATGTCTCGCTCTCGTATGCTTTGGGTACGGATGTCATGGCACCCTGGGTCCAAGAATCAGATCCAGTGTCGGAATTTGAAGACATTCTGCTTGAATTTGACTCGTTGAATTCAACCCACGTCGTGTAATATCGGACGATGAAACGATGCGACAGCCGACTTAAAGCGTTCACTTCGCGGAACAGCTTGTTGTCGTCCTTATCTGATCGTAAGCGAATCTTTTTCACTGTACGTCGACGCAAAGTCTATCAGATATTCGTTTCTTGAATTTGAAACCACGTACCTGCATAGATGCGATTATCAATCTTGTTTCGAGCTTTGACCACAGATCCAAAGGCACCCCTGCCCTGGATACTAGCGTAAGCGAGAGAACAGGGAATCATATACATTTAAATACCAAGAGTTCGAGCTCCTCCCAATCCTCCTTCCAACGACTGGCCGGAGCAGTGCGCTGAGGAACTCGGAAGTAGTCATTCTCTGGAGAACCAAAGTATCCATTGGATCTCGGAGTCCTGAGATCTGGAGAAATAGGTGAGATAAAAGACACGGAAATGAACTATCAGGTGTTACCGTTGCTAACGACTGGAATTGTTGTGGGAATTCCAATTCGTCGTGGGCATTGGAGAGGCGCTGCTGATGCCAGTTCCGCTAAAAGGCTCAAGCAAGAAACTTTCTTCGCATGCATCAACATATTCAGTGCGCATGTTTGGAGAGTAGGAGAAAGAGCCGCTGGAAAGCGGAATAAGCTCTAGCACAACAAAGCGTGACAAAACATGGGTTACCAGCTTGCACAGCTTCATTAGGATCACTAAACTGCCTCATGACGTCTCTTCCATTGACCATTTGCATGAAGATTACTCCAACGCTGTGTATATCGCGTCCCCGAGTGTATGATAGAACCGACTCAAGGACATCTTTGGATAACCTGCAATGGTCGTTCAGATGATGAAAATCCCTAATGTACCATCCCCACAACACTTACCAAGGTGTAGGACGTATATACTCTTCCTCATTTACGTTTGATATGCCGTTGCCAAACGGATTAGACTTGTGGTAGTCCTTCAAGCGTGCATGAAACCCAACTTTCCCTATCCTGACCATCTTAGCGTGGGTTCTATTCTCTCTCGTAGCAAGATAAATGCAAGAAATGTCAAGACCTAGAACGATATGAGTTGCTGTGTGGGTCAAGACACGGGTCGTACCTCTGTGAATTATATCTGCTGAATGGACCGCGTTCAGGGCAGACAGAATCTGACCAAGATATTCCTAGAAGAGTCAAAGCATTTCAATGCTACGATAATGTTTAAGAGACTTCATGACAA